TACCGAACCGAAAGCACTGTATCGAACGGTTCAATATCGATACGAATATCGTTGCACCCCTAGTAAACAGATATTCTGTCTCCCACCTGTTCAGAAAGCTCCTGTTTTCTGCCTTTCTTTTTGCCATTTTGGGAGAGGTAGCACGGAAGTATTTGCACAGTTGCTATGGCTACAGTCAACATGTCTCAAGGCTTTTAAACCCCTCACTACACACTTTGTGAACATTTTCACACTTTTCTCTCTTGTTTAAACACTCTCAAAGTTCAAAGCTTCGTAGAAAAATAAGTCCAGTATTACAGAATGAAACCAAAGACCAAGCCCTGTTTTCAGGTCCAGAACATGGGAATAGAGCACCTGCGAGAGAATTCACCATTAATGAAACAATGTATGGAAGTGGAGGCAGTGGAAGCAAGAAGAATGAGTTGAGTAAAGTACTTATCTGACGTCTACCTGGATGATTGAGCATGCATCAAGATACTTATCTGACGGTTTTGTTTCGCTTAATAAGCCTTATAATTCAGTGGAGAGGGTGCGCCTCATGGTCCAAAAAATACGGCAACTTCTACCTTCCTTTAGAAGTCCAACTTTTTGTGCAGTGGTTTCTTCCCCTGCCTTTTGGGTGCTACGCAGGTGACTTTGCAAAATGTTTCCTCGACAAACACAATGCGCTGTTAAAACCCCCCCCCCAAAAAAACATGCAAAATTGCATACAAAAAAAAGCCTCAAAACAGCGAGGCCACGAAAAGTGAACAGAGTTATAGCAAGGGACCACTGTACTCAGGTACGCGAGTCCGGACTCACAAGGAAGCCCAAACTTCCCAAGAACGCAGCGTGATTGTTCTATGGCATTGTATGGCAATGTACATGATGGCATCACTGCTCTGGAGTTTTTACTGCCATTCCCTCTTAATTTAAGTTTGAGTAATATTTGCAATGGAAATTACACATGACATAAAAAAAATTGCACACAATGTAGTAGATTTCTTTAAGAATTTTTTTTTTAAATTATCTTAAGCACTTTGCAAAATTTGCTTTTAAATATCATCTGTTTCACAATGTCTAATAAGCTTCATACAGTTAACCACACTACATGACTAAAACACAAGCTTAATCTCCCTGAATAAACATAGTACACATGTATGCCTGAATAAAAACAAACAAGTGAGATGTTAGAACGCTTTTATTTTTATTTTAGTAAATATTCAAACTTAAAATAAACAGCTGGAGTTTGGAAGAGACTTGAATAAATATTTAAAATATAATCTGATCATTTTTGGAGCAGCCTTCAGGATCTCCACATATTAACATGCTTTTTTTTAGACTTGATGGATAGCTTTAACAACCTGCTAGCTACAAATATTCATTTGCAATTCCACATGATTATTAACAGACAAAAAGAAAACATATTAATGATACAGAAATAGTTTTCTATACAAGATCACTGCAAAAAAGTGCAGCCTTACCTGATGTCCACCATACTGTTACTCATTTTATATTAAGATTTAAAAATCTAGTTGGTATTGCTATAGCAAGTAGCCTTCAGTAATAGTAATGTAACACAGCAATACTACATTCATGTAGCTGTAAAACCCATGACAATATATTAAGTATTCCAAAGTATTCAGAATACATTACTGTCATTGAGTAATTTAACAGATTATGTTACAAAATACATTTTGGGTAGGGGTGGGTTTTGATCATTGCTTTCTCGATTAAAATCGATTGTAGCTTGGATAACGTGATATCGATTCATTAAAATCCTGAATCGATTTTTAAATATACATTAATTTTGCCCGAAACGCCAGAATCTCAGTTTAAACCTCACAAAATTTCAACAACCACCAAACAGCTAAAACAGTAAATGAGGGCAGGTAAACAGATTCTGCACAAAGATGTAAACATGCACTGTCGGCTGCTGTTTTCTTTCCTTTTACATACTTCCGACAAGAAATACCAATTTCTGTGTTCAATAGGCTACTGAACTTTGTAAAAATTATGCAAAATTGCAATACGCTTAGCTGTGTCTCTAATAAAACCTCTGTAACTTTGCTCTGCTTCACTTCAGCAGTATCAGGTAATGTTCATAGGTTAATTAATGGTATTCTTTCATTTTTGATCTACTGCAGAATAGTTAAGGTCATCTGCTATAAAATCCCAGGCAAGGAAAATCACCTTCATGTTTTTCTGTGTTTTATCCTCAGTTACTTTGACACAAAGGCATCTGCTGTGATGCTTACACCTTTGATAAAGTCTCACAAGTGTCAGCTTTCTTTTTATAGATATAAAAATATGGAAATGTACTGATACGTGATAAGAATTATAATATTTCTGATTGTCTGATGCAAAATTTCCCCAATTCAAATCAAATCGTGGATCGATTCAATTCAAGACCTTGTGAATCGGAATCAAATCAATTCTAGAAATCTGTGACGATACCCAGCCCTAATTTTCGGCCATGTATTCTGTAATGTGTAGTGGAATACATTTTAAAAATAACCTTCCTAACACTCCCTGCAGGTTTTCGACATCACCTGAATCACATGATTAGTTCATTACCAGCCCTCTGGAGAACTTCAAGAGATTTTGAGTACCTCATACCTCCTATTCCAAATCTCTTTGCCTACCAATATAAAGGGAAGGTTAAATAGGAGAATTGCTAAGGACTTAAGATAAGAAAAGAGAAGAGAGACCCCTGAGAATTGGTAACTTCATACAATTGGAATGGCTTTACACTCATCTCTCATTAACGATATGACGTAAGATGTTTGCCATGTTGAAACTACAATGTGCTGGAGAAGGACTACAAAACACATCTTAGTTCATAACGTGTTCTAACCCTGTTGTTGAACAGACTGTTAAAATATCCTTCATTACAGAGGCTGGAGTTTTAAAGGAGGAGGAACATTTAGGGTCAGATTTACTGATGTCTGCGGAGCGCAGTCTTCTTTCTGTTAAAAATCTGCTGTATGTATTAAAGATGCTCATAGTCAGATTGTGATTGAAAGTTGTGAACAGTAGGATCTTTGGACTTGTGCATATGTATTTGTAAGCCTTTCACTTTCAACAGAAGAGTATTTAAACAAGTCACACAATTCTGAGCACATTGTTTACTGCAAATTGCACAACCTTAACACGGAAAAAATTGCCCTGCGAGACACTTCCAAAACTTGAAGCATCTCGCTATTTTCAGAGACAAACATTGAACCTGAGCTCACACTGGCTTATTTTGGTTAGCACTACAAAGGAGAGCCAACACTTCAGACAGTGGTGCTTAGACAACAACCTCATCCTGAACATCCACAATCTGATCCGGAGTTTGTGCTGATGATTAATGACACAAACACGGTTCTACGTACAGCTGGTTTGTTTTATTCTCAGAAAAAAAAAAAAATACAAAAAAAACAATGTTTAAAACATAATCGTACCAGTGCACACCTGAGCACTGACCTCTGCCTGTGTCCTTTTGTCAATGTTTGTTTTCACTTCATAAAGGTTTCATTTAAAATAAATAAATAAATATGAGCACTGATGAATGTCAGTGCTAAACACCTGTAGCACCTGTCTCACCTGATCAAACAATCAGAATCACTAACTGTGATATTGTCACTGAAGACCTATTGTTGGTGGATTGAGCGCTTTGATTGGTGAATTGGCAGGATGCTGGTTACTGCAGGTGTCTGATGCTCCAGGTTCAATGTAGAATCATCACCTGTCTGTTTCACCTGTCACAGATGAGGACGAAGAAGACAGCAGTGAAGAGGACGAGAAAGCTGAGGAAGAAGAGAACTGTGAAGTGCATCCTCCCTCAAAAAGATCACGAACCTGAAACACCTGAGAACACTTTCACATTGATTTTTCTTTTTTTAAATTGACGACACAATAAAGATGTCAAGGTAAACAGTGTTTCATGTGACTCATTAAATAGAGAAAAGTACCACATTTCGGAGGAATCCTGCTCACCGATTGGCTGTGAGGTTTTCAGTTAACCTTAACCTAAATAATGTATCAGATAACCATGGCAACATCACTGCATTGTCAGTAAACAAATAACTAATGCAAATAAAGTGACTCACAGCCAAGCAACAAATCACAACACATTACTGATGTCACAACAGTAAAAAAAAAAAAACAAAAAAAAAAAACAGAGGGGAAAAAGACTGGTTGCCACTGGTGGGAGGGGCTTTTTCACAGGGTGCTGTGAGTCTGTACTGAGAGCGGCAGAACTTCCTGTCAGGCCGCAATCAGGGCAAAACTTGTAGGAGTGTTTAAAAGGCACACAGGAAATGACATCACAAACTAGTCCTGCTGTCATCCCACCCCTCATCACGTGGGAGGCTCTCTGATTGGTCGTCCCCTACGTGTCGATGAGCGATCCTGCTGCCCTGTGATTGGCCAATTTGGCGGCATGGCGGCGGCTGTACAGAAGGGCGATACAGACAGGAAGCACACAGTATCCAACAGCGCGGGGGTCCGCCCTTGTGCACGAGAACAAGAAGAGAAAGAGCTGCAAGTATGGCAGCAGGAAGATCAATGCCCACATCCACACAGGAAGTAGTGATCCATGGACAGTGATAGCAGGAGGTGGAGCCGATGGGCTGGTACCTGCTCTCTGCACACGTTCCAAACTAAAGCTGTGGACCTCAAAGATGTAGTACGCCGCCATGACGCTGAGCAGCAAGTAGAAAGCCACACCCACCCATCCCATCCTCTGACGGAAGTTCATCATCCTCCATACTGCGGAAGAAACAGATTAAAAATCAAAACAAGATCAACATTCATCAGTGCTCTTATATCCAGTAACAGGTCAGAGGTCATTACATCATCCAAAAGAGCAAATCAACAATCAATGTTAGGATCAATGAAATAACTACTCCATCAGTGCTGAGATAAACAATCTCTGCCCCTGTCAATTTCAATTCCATCTGATTTAAATCTAAGAAACAGTTTGTCACTGGAGACTGCAGGTTTTAATGTTCAGTTAATAATAATAATAATAATAATAATAATAATGGATTGGATTTATATAGCGCTTTTCAAGGCACCCAAAGGCACACAATGCCACTATTCATTCACTCTCGCATTCACACACTGGTGGAGGCAAGCTACGGTTGTAGCCACAGCTGCCCTGGGGCAGACTGACAGAAGCCAGGCTGCCATATCGCGCCATCGGCCCCTCTGGCCAACACCAGTAGGCGGTAGGGTAAAGTGTCTTGCCCAAGGACACAACGACCAGGACAGAGAGCCCGGGAAACGAACCGGCAACCTTCCGGTTACAGATATGCTTCCCAACCCCCTGAGCCACGGTTCCCACCTTAGTCAATTCACTTTTCATCTAATCCAGGTGTGGAGAACTCCAGCCTCAAGAGCCAGTGTCATTTAGGTTTTAGATATTACCCTGGGTCAACACACCTGAAATAAATGATTAGTTCATTACCACGACTCTGGAGAACTTCAAGAAATAAAGAGGAGGTAGTTTAGCCATTTAAATCAGCTCTCTTGGATCAATGACACATAAAACCTGAAGGACACCGGCCCTCGAGGACTGGAGTTCCCCCACCCCCGATCCAATTCAAAGTATGCCAACATGTAGCTCCGTGCACTAATTTACTTTAACAGAGAGCTGTGGTTTCTGCACCAGACTATTCATTTTTCTCTAATCCAAACTGTGCTAGCATGTAGCTCTGCGTCTTTGTTCTGATTTATTTCAACTTAGCGCTGTGAGCTTTGTACCAGACTCCATTCATTTTTTATCTGATTTAACGCCTGCTAATAGCTGTGTGTCTTTGGCCCTCTTTCCTGCTGCCACAGATGCTCGCACGGCTTCCCAGTAGATGACACACTGAGCTGCTTCCTGCCGGCCTCCATCTTCCTCTCTGCCTGTTAGCTCATGTTTTCTTACCTTCCTTCGCGCTGATATTTCAAATTAAAATCCAGCTGCAGGATCGTGTTTTGATCGCTGTTGTTCCCGTGAAGTCTCGTCTCTCTCTTCCGGGTAAGTCACCTGATGCCAAAGGATTACGTCATGTGTTACACAGTGCCGCCTGCTGTTTAAACAGCGTCATTACACATCAGCGCGTTAATACTACAAGTCAGTATGAAATCAAATATAACTGCATACAAACTGATTTTAATCATTTTCATGTTCGTTTGTCTTTGTTCACTTTTACTTGTTTCTGTGACAGTTTGGATCCTTCATTGAATAATCTTATAGTTGAGAGTCTCAGATGATAAAATTCAGCTGATAATTTAATGAAATTTCATTAATTTAATGAAATCATCAAATATAAGCCATCAAGTTCTTCAGTGTCCTAATCATAAAGCTGTGATATTGATCAGTCTGTTCTCTCACACAGTTGGATTTTAAGACAGTTTTTCTTTGCCTTCAAACAGCCTAAACTTTATTAATATAGCAGCTCATTTCCAGTCTGACAGACCCAAACATTTAAAACACAAACACTTTCATATAGGGTGTTTCCTCTCACACTGATTTACCTATAGCAGCCATTACTTTCATTATGTGTGTAACCTCTTCCATCACCAGGCAGTGAAAATTGGCTGGTAATGGAAGAGTTGACTTTGAGGTGAAGCAGCATCTGATGAGGAGCTGGGACCGGGTTAGGACTGCTTCAATGTGGACCTTAAAGTTGCTCACCTGGAGTGGGACTGAAGTCGATTCAGGATGATGCTGGTTGTTTTCCTGGTAAAGTAATATTTTGTTTCTTCCAGGCTAGATTTAAGGCCCTTTCACAATAAAACAGAATCGATTTACATCAAAACATCAGTAAACAGTCAAATCAATTAACTAATCAACAGTCTTTGTTAGTGAGGTACAGAGACTTAAACACAGAGATGAGAGGTTGCTGTGCTGTCAGCTCAGTAACAATTTATCAAAAACAGCTGACAAAACATCTGTTCACCATCACCACTGCTTCTCAGACTAACAGCAAATCTTTGTAACAGTTCACAAATCTGTCTAGTAACAGACTGAAAATGCTCTCACTGTACACTAATGATGCAATTCTGTTCATCTGAACATTACACTAGAGCACTGCTAAATTATGAGCTTATCAAGATATTTCAGAATATTCACTCAAACAAGGTGAAAATGAATGAAGAAACCAGATTCCAGTTTAACATGGAATAATTAAAATATTCAGGGACAAAAGTATGATTAAGAACCTACAACTCAATAATGGATGGATGTATCTTCCTTTTAAAATGCTTGGTGAAGTCAGATTTGTTTTATCAATTTATGAACAATTAATGATAAAAAAAAAAAACAGTTACTTTGGGAAATAAAGCTTCTAGAATCATTTAAAGAAAATTAAACAAATAATTTCAAACCTTGCAAAAAGCAGTTTAGATAAAGTGAAGTCAGGAAAGCTTTGGACATCTTGTCTGCTTCTTCGGGATATTAACCCTGAGCAAATCAGAATATGTTTGTTTTTGTATTTTTTTTTAATCATTTCCCCGTCAAGTTGATTTTTTTTTTTGTCCTTCCACAATGTCATGAGTTGAAAATGAGGATCACAGTCTTTCTCCTTGTTTCTTTTGTCATTAAAAAAATAATTATTTCTATTCTTTCAGATTATTCAGAACAAGAAACCTTCAGATCCTCAAATGATTCCTGGGTAAAATATGCAGGCCTTGCATTGCTTGATCAGAAAGACCCTCTCAGTCTCCATTTAGGTGGGAGTCATTAGTGAAGACCTTCAGGAGTCTCCCCAGATGATCAGTCTCAGTGCTCAGTGGTAACTTTATTGTCCCCAATGGGAAATTGATTTGCAGTATGTCAACACATCAAACAACACAAACACACACACACAAACCCCCCCCAAAAAAAAAAAAACCTTTGAGTCTGGACTTTGAATCACTCAAAATCGGTCAGAGACAGTTCAGAGTCATCTTGGCTGTTTAGGCCAAGTCTTTGTGCCCCCTGGGGTTTGACTTGTGGCATTTATTTATTCAAAATCCAAACTAAAAAAAAAAAAAAGGTTCGTGCAGCATTAAGAGTGGATTACCACTGCTGTCTCCAGCACCATCAGGGTACCAACTTAAAAAAAAAAAAAAAATCAGAGCTAATCAATAACTCTCAGTCAAACCATCCAGATTATAAACATCAGTCAATCTACATCAACTCCTGATGCTGCAGGAAACGGATCAGACCCCCAGGGAGTGGCAACTTCTTCAACCAACGGCGACCAACCAGGTGAAGAATCTGCAGCCTGCAGAGCTGCAGCAGTGGGCGCGGTGGAGCTGAAACAAACAGACTGGTTAGCCTGGAAACACACTAGAATAACTATTAACACTGAAATCAGTAAAATTGCAGAAGAATCAATTATCACTTTTTGATTTACCCGCTTTCTCCTTTATGCAGGTCCATTCAGAGTAACTGTCCAGGTGTTCCATCAGTCTGGAGCAAAGAGTCACATGGCCGACGTAATCCAACAAGACATCAATAATTGGCCCCGCCCATCGACAGATACTGGGGACGGATATCATCTCACAGAACTGTCAGTCCGTGAGTGTATCAAACAATTAGTTACACCTTAACTTTATCGTGAGGTCACCTGAAGGCCGTACTGTGATTAGGCAGTAAGGTTTTGCCAGGTACTTTCAGGTATTACCCAAGCATACAGCCCAACTGCATGCACTCAGAGCTAGATTCAGATAACCTGGCTTATGTACAATGTTAATGATCACTGTCAGATAATAAAAAGTTATCCTGGATATGTCTTTAAATGTCCCCTTTTCACACACATTAACAAAGTTTTTAAATACCCCGTTTCAAACAAGGCAACCTGAGTAGCTATGGTAATGGTTTTGTTGTTTTGATTTTTACCTGGATTTGTTTCATTTTACCAGATAAACATAAAATTAAAAGGAAAAATAGAGGTCACCTGAATGGCTCTTCTTGGGACAGCTTGGTCGATATCATGGAGTTCATCCCTCTCTGTTCGACTGGTTTTGATTGGTGGGTGAGGACGACTGCCATACACACAATTGAAGCAGGAAAGGGCATTGCCTCCATGGTCTAGCAGGTACTTGAACATAGGCAGGTACTTCATTGAGAACATGTACACGGCAGGGAAAGTAGTGGGGTGGGTGGGGATGGTAGCATTGATCTCAGCGCCATGTTCTACAAGCAGTGTGATGGTCTGGATGCAGCCCTGCCTTGCTGCTACCATCACAGGCTTGAACACATCCAAGTTTGGGTTAGCGCCAGCAGTCAGGAGCATTTGCACAGCATCGATGTTGTCGTTGATAACAGCAAAGTAGAGTGCCGTACTACGGCGGTCCTCGTACAACCTAGACCACTCCTCTGATAGTTGGGTGTTGACATCGAACCCTGCCCCGATTAGAGTCTCCAGGACATCATCACGGTTACGCTCTGCTGCCATGTGCAGAGGGCTAATGCCAGTCCGCCGGACTCTGGCCTTACTGGTGGCTGGGATCAACATGGAGACTATGCTGGGAACAGGAAACACCTAGCAATTAGCCTAAACTGATACACCTTAGTCACGCTTACGGACAGAAACACTTGGTCACTTACGATCAGAAACAGCTGGGGCATTTACAGTCAGAACAACAATGGCAACTCACAGCCAGAAACATTTTATCCACTTACAACCGGAAACACCTCAGCCCTGTACAAGCAGTAAAACCTAGTGCCCTTACAATCAGAAACACTTCGCCACTTATGGCCAGAAACATTTTGGCTACTTAGCACCAGAAAAACCTGGGTCACCTATGACCAGAAACACCATGGCCAGAAAGAATGCCACTTGTGCCCAGGAACATCTGGGCCACTTTGGTCTAGAAACACTGGGAACACTTAAGGTTAATGCTGTTGCTCCCTAAAATTGCTCCAGATACCTAATACCTGGATGAGTCAAGGTAGCCACACTTAACACAATGCCACTATTAAATACCAAATTAACTCCAGTGAGTCTGCACAACTCGGTAAACATTTCATAGTGTACCTACGTGTCACTTCCTCTCTGGGCGGCAACATGAAGAGGTAGCAGTCCCCTCTTTCCTGGTTTGTTGGCATCAGCATTCTGGGAAATGAGAAGCTCAACGACTTGTTCATGTCCATTTTTAGTGGCTTCATACAGAGCTGTCGCGCCATCAGCTGCCTGGCTGTTGATGTCAGCACCTGCAAAATGGGAGATGGGGTGGGGTCAAAGGTGGAGTTAATTCAGTGGCAACAGAGGTGTTCAGTGTGCAACAAGTTCATTAACCACATTATTTACCATGTTTGAGCAGAAAACGCAGCGTGGCGAGCTGCCCACTCTGAGCAGCGGTGAAGAGTGGTGTGATGCCATACATGTTGCTGATGCTGTGTTTGGCACCGGCCTTCAGGAGCATCTCACAGATGTCCAGGTTGTTTCGGCTAACAGCTTCCTGTAGTGCTGTCCACCCTTGAATGCAGCGAGTGTTCACCACTACTCCGTGGTTCAGCAACACTGCCACAATTGCTGGGTTGCTCCTCTCACAGGCTACAGATTGGAAAATACATAAAAGGGACATCTTGATACATTCTCAATTATCCAGGTAAGTAAATCTCCAAAAGTAAATCTCCAAAAGTTGATTCTGTTGTTCTGAACATAGTGTTTTCAGTCTTCCACTGAAAACGCTACGTCCAGATGAACAGAATCAACTTTTGGAGACATAAAAGGGACATTTCACCCAAACAAGAATCAGATGCAGTTGATTCAAGCTGAGACTCATGCTGGTATGACTGCTCGGTCTATGTTTATAAATTGGCAATCTCCAAAATATAGTCCACGTAGATTAAAATTTCATGCAGAGCTGGTCAAATTGGTTGTTTTTAGTGGCTTGGTGAAGCTGTTCCTACTGGATGTCAAAGAGAGTCTAATCTCCTAATTAAAACTTATGAAGATGGGATAAAAATCCTACATTTAAAAAAGGTTAGGACCCTTTCATCCATTTGCATCATCATTTCTGTTTTTCTTTGGGGGGGGTTTCTCTTCTCCATGTGTGTCCTGTCTCTTTTACCTTTGTACAGTGGTGTCTCTTTGTCATAGTTTGGAATGTCAGGATCAGCTCCTCTTCCCAGGAGCACCTCAACGCATCCCAGATGCTCTCTACTGACGGCAACCAGCAGTGCTGTCTCGCCATGTTCTGTCCTCTTGTTGATCATCCCAGGCTGAGCTGCTCAAACCAAAGACGGTATTGCAGGTGTGCTCAGTTGTTCTCTGTAATTTTGAATAGGTGAACCTACCTGACAGCAGCATGCGCAGACAGGTTTCCTTGCCGAACCACGCTGCCTGGTGAACTGCCAGCCAGCCCGGTTTACTCGGCAACATCAAGTTTGTTCCTGGGCACATTGCAAGTGCTTTCACTCTGCTTGCATCACCTTCACGGATTGCTTTGAACAAAGGTTCCTCCTCCCTGCAGTGACAAGACCAATCAGCCAACTGGAACACCTTGTTCAGAGGTGAGTCAAATGGATGTACATGTTAGGAGCAGAACTAAACTCACTCTTCAGGTTCGGGACAGATGTGGACCAGACTGCCATCATGTCTGCGATATGCCACCATCCTCTTCCCAGAACCCGTGACAAACAGACTGATTGTCCCATCAAATGTCTTCCTGACGAGACAGCAGCCAATTAGGACACAGTTCCAAAAAGAGAAAGCAATCAGAGCACAGTCACAAAGACAACAGCCAATCAAACTACAGACAAGGAAACTACAGTCAATGAGAACACGAAGACAGGATTTGCAGCCAATCAGGACACAGACACAGAACCTGCAGCTAATGAGAACAAGGACACAGGGTCTGCATCCAATCAGAACACATTCAATAACAATCAATCAATCACTCTACATGCAAACTCATCAATGATCCGAAGCTCTAAATATATTCAACTATCCACATACTTGGTCAGAAGAGACTAAGAATAAAAATGGAGGCTACTCACGGATCAGGAGGCTTTTGAGGTGGTGGGTTTGGTGAGCTGTAGTGTGCTGTGGTCTGTGCTTGAAATGAATTTTGAGCTCTGTAGCTGGGCTGGTTTGTGTTTATGGCTGGGTTCAGTTTGTCAGGACAATGAGAAGGCTGGACACAGCTGGGGGTACTGGCACTGATGGTGTTGTTGGCACTGATGGTGTTGGATTCGGTGGTGTTGCCATGTGTGTCAGTTAGGCTGCGCTCAATTGCAAGCTGCAGCAGCTCTTCTTCACTCAGATTACTATAGAGAGAATAATCGTCAGAAGTCAGACTGGAAGCAGATGATGTGGAGCGAGAGATCCTGGGTCCTGCCATGATGTCACTGTAACAAATGGGAAGTGACACCAATCAGATATTTATTGTTTCTAACTTAATCGTTTTATCACGTAAAGAAGCTGCAAAGTCTTTCTGAACATACTTTGTACAAACTCAGTGTTTGATGATTTAAAAAAAAATAAAAATAACTACAACAAGGTTTACCTGCAAGCTTAAAAGCATGGAAACTCAAGCGCCCCCATGTTCACTACCAACAAATACTGGACAAACAGCTGCTAAAGACATACTGGTAACACTTGGAGGCAGAAAGTGTAATATAGTTCAAAGTTCAAGTTCACCAGTTTAACCACTTTGTGAAGCATTAATCTCTCAGATTATTTTACTGTTAAAGTTTTGTGTTTTTTTACAGATCTTATCATCATCTGAGAACAGCTCTGATTGAAGTTGGTGGCACACTCACAGGGATCATTTTCATCAGGAGAAGAGTGGAATTACCCCCAAAAAGCACCTTTTAATGTGTGCACTCAGAGCCTAAAGCAGACAGCCCAGCTTAATGGAGAAAATTAATAACAACCATCTTGATGGCCAGATAAACAAAAAGAAGGAAACTGAGATAAACAATGAGCCAGAAAAACAGAATGTCAGATTTCAGTCTAACAGCTTCAGTCACTGAAGTTGTTTACCACTGTCAGAAATCCAGTGTTTCCCTTGAGTTTCAGCTTCGTCCTTTCCTCCGTCTGTTCTCCAGCTGTCTGTCTGTAATCTAGTCTGACCCCAGCGTGGGGGTGGGGGTGTTACTTAAGTTTTATTTTAGGAAGCTGCTATCAGAGCTTGTTGACCGGTCCACCTCTTCACTGCTCTAATGTTGCAGGTGGAGTCACATGAAGCTGTATCACACAAACAAATGCTGAAGAGCTGTTTCACAAACTGGATCACCCCCAAAATAATCCCAGACCTGCTCAGAGCTACAGATTAACTTCAGTTTTAACTCTTTTTTTTTTTTCAGGATTTTGAAGTTGCTTCATTTACTAAGGTACATCACAATGTAGCAGACCTAACTTGCTCCAGGGCATCTTATTTTCCTAATTAGAGACTCAATGGCAGGAAAATTCCACTTACTGACCAATCAGACCTCAGGAAAAAAAAAATCACTATTCCTAGATGATCCCTTAGAGTGCAGATTGCAGCAGGGACTAGAGGTTTTTAGGAGCGTCTAAAGATTCTTAGTGAAACTTTATTTCTGTTTTTTTCCTAATGGCCAAAAATGTCATTTAAAAAAAGATTTAATAACTCTATAAGCCTGACCCAAAAAGAACTAAGTATAAATCTCCACCAGGACTGCAAGTGAAAGAATAAAAACTGTTAGAAACCAATCAGAAACATTACTTACCAGAACAAACAGCTGCCATTATCCTCACGATGGAGTGTCATAGTAATAGGTCTGCACAAGGCAAGAAAAACATAACCTTCACCTGTCAAGGATTGTTAAAGAATAATTCTCTATATGCAAGTGTATATTTAACACAAGTATGTACGTTTTTCTGTGCCTCAGTGCTTTCTATGTAATATTTATGCTCTGATGAACACATCAGATTGCAACCTCTGGGGTTAGTATCATGTCCATACTCTGACCTGCAGACTGGAGCAGCCAGGGATCAAGCCACCAACCCTCTAATTAATACATGGCCTTTTCTATCTCTTGTGCTACAGCCACTACTAGACCATATTTAATGCAAATGTTTACGTTTTAAAACAATTTCTGTTTATATCAGTGAAATTTTAGAGCTGCCGTGACTGAAATCCAAAAACTTTCCAGAATGAATCCCAGATCTGTCTCAAGTTACACCAGAGTTTTAACTTCAGCTCAGTCATAACTTTGTTTATTCAAAAGTCTCCACACAAATCCATGGATTGTTATCACGGCATGCGTGTGCGATTGTGTTATTTTTAGACTGAGCTACTGAGAGTAGTAATACGATGGCACCTGTCCAAGATGGCGGCCAACCAAACCGGTTTGACAACCGGTTTGACCGGTTTCGTGCGTGTGCGTGTGCGCATGCGCGTTCAGTAATACGATGGCACCTGTCCAATATGGCGGCCAACCAAACCGGTTTGACAACCGGTTTGACCGGTTTCGTGCGTGTGCGCATGCGCGTTCAGTAATACGATGGCACTGGTCCAAGATGGCGGCCAACCAAACCGATTTGACCAGTTTCGTGTGTGTGTGCGCATGCGTGTTCAGGTGTGGAAATACCACAGGGGATCAGAGGGGTTATATGAGTTTGTGTTTTTAACGGGGTTTTAATTTAATCAAACCATAGGGTTTTTAATTAAACTATTTTTATCACTTAGGTGTATCGCA